AATAATATAAGATATTTGTTAGATAATGTTAGATGTGATTAGATATGATTTTATCTCCTACCTATTTTGTAACATCCTTCTAATCTATATTTAAGACAGATAAAGCGTTATATGGAATAATATCTTTGCCTAATCTATTTCTCTAAACAACACATAATAATTTGCCAAGTTATATTACTTTGTTCTATCCAAGGAATCTGCACAGTTGAAACTTATTATTCCATTTTGAAGAGATCTGAGGCAGAAATCGCCATCAAAATCTCTGCTACAAACCACTGATCCTTTGTATTCATTGAGGCGCAGTGGTGAAGGAAAATAATCTCCTTTACAGAAGCCAATCGCTATTGTGGGTGGTTTTACAAGCTTCCATAGCCCCTCCACAGTCTGCTGCTCACCTCTTGACTTCATAGTAGCATGCCCGTCATAATTGACCAACTGAATCCATGTCTGATGAAGTCTTCCAGTTGATCTGATATATTTTACAGATTTCGTAAAAATGTTCAACCAAAATTGTTTCCGACTTTCCTTCTCCATTTCTAAGTAAGTTAACACAAATGATAGGTACCAAAGGAGTTTTCCTTTGTCCACCAGCACTTAAACGGGGATCCCGAGCACCATATCTACGACTTAATCTCTGATAATACTGCAAGCTTCCTTTGTAGGGATCCTGAGCTGAAACATTAATTTCAGCTTCCACAGCAGAGAACTTCAACTCTGCCCCCCACCATATTGGTATGGTACCTTGTCGCCACACATATGAATTAAATGGGAACAAAATAACTGCTGGGTGCTAACAGATTAAAGAAGAAATAATATATAGCAAAATGTTTAATCAAATTTGTGCGTAAAGCTACTTACAGTTCCATCTATAATTGCTGAAAGGGTTAGATAATCAAATACATCAGTACAGTACCGCCAGGCGTTAGCATTTCCATACTTCCGTTGGCATTTGTCATAAAAACCGTAAACCTAGAAACATGATTTCCATTAATACATACACAAAAAAGATTTGCTCAAAATGTTCATATCTTTTAGAGCCCTTCTAAAGACAAATTACGTTTCCATGACAAATTGGCATAGAAGTACAATAGCAGAAAATTGGAATGAAAAATATCCAAAGAACATTTCTTTCCTTATAAGGTGTCAAATCTGAAACCAATGAACCTTTGATAGGTAAAATATACTATTTCACGATAAAGCAATTCCTGAAGGTGTAGTAGATGGAGCAAGCCACATTGGTAACTTTGCAGTACTTTTGTGATAATATGAACTCACTTGAACTTTCAATTTCCTCAATGTTGGAACATTGGTAATCCCAACTGGCACGCAAGCCAAACAACATAGTAATATAGCATATTACTCTATTTTTCCTTCTTCGCGAAGTATTTGTTTCCTATCCTTCCATTTACCCATTTGGCTTTCATTTTGCATCAGAGTTGACTCTAGTTACCTGAAGCAAACCTCTCAATTTCCCCCCTTATTTCAGGTTCTTTTCCTTAATTGAATGGGTGAAATTGCATCAGCAAATCGGGAGGTAATTTAACTAACGAACTGACTTTTTAAGGATTTGTGATGGACTCCGCTCGTGTAAAATTTCCTGACCAAGCAGAAACATGGAGGTGCTACACTAAGTAGAAGTCAGAAGCAGGAACTTGCTAAAAATCTCTGCTTGAATGACAACCCAATTCTAGTGGAAAAATACTCGGGTTACAAGAATGATTCAAAAAAGGACCTATGATAAACTCATCAAGAGCCAAAAGACATCAAAGTTGGAAAAAGAAGTACTCCCATAGCTAGCATGAAGATTAAGAGAAGATTGTTCATAAGGCCTTGGATCAATTTCTTAAAATAATATCCTGAAGTCAAGATATCAAAGGGCTCTCCTAATATGGTTGTTTCTCCACCTTATCACAATTTGGGTAGATCATATTAAGTTATAAATCAACTCGGCGTAATGTAGAGATTTCATAAAAAATATTGAGAGAAAAAATCCAAAGAAAATAAGCAATAATAAGTATAACATTTTTCAAGCAACCTGCACAAAGCATGCATAGAATTATTAAAAGGGCAAAAAGAAAGGATTTCAGACTGATAATTACTGTCAGAAGTGAACACAAACAGAAGACTGGAAACAGATTTGAGGTCACAATTTGTGTGGAATTAAATATAGGAAATCTAAGAAGACAAAAATGAATAACCAGCTAAAATGGGCAACTAAATGTAACCTGGTCACAAATGACAGTAAGACATTGTTCCAAACATATGGCAAAAGCTATAGCCAAACTAATAAAAGCATACCTGTGTTAATTATCTGCTTTCATGATTCCCACGCAACAGAGTAATATGTGCAGGGTATCTGGTGGAAATGAAAACAAAAAGAGAAATAAAGATCATGACAAGTCTATGACTAAAAAGTAACTTACAACAAGAGGTGGCCAATATGGAAGGTAAGCTAGAAACAGATGTCAAGGATCCAAGCCAACAAATTGCAGTGGTTATCACAGACAATTTGTCAGGAAAAACCATAACAAGATGTGCAACTAACAATGTCAATGATCCAAAAATACAAGTAAAAAAAAAATAAATAAAGTGCCAATCAGCACAAAAATCAGAAAAAGTGTAATGTTATCTTAATACATAATCAAAGGTTCCGGCAATTGCAAGGTGAAAACTTGAAGAAGAGGCATATAAATAAATGAAAATAAAAAAGATAATTTCTTCACAGTACCACTATCATCACAACTTTTAATCTGGCTCAATCCAGGTTTGTTTGATCTGCCACTACTCCTACCAGCACCTTTCTTTCAAATGCCATTAACTTAAAGTTTGGAAAAGAAAAGATTGGACATAAATTTAACAATAAAAAGGTGTGACATAAACACCAAGACACCAGATTCATCAGCTCCACTAATAGTCTAAAAGGATTAATAAAAAAGTGAAATAAAATGGATACATCTCTTTGGTATCCATTCACAATCTCATCACACAACAGAAAAATCAATAAATAATGTACTATGATATATATATATATATATATATATATATATATATATATATATATATATATATATATATATATATATATATATATACTATTATTGATTTTTAATTCAAGCCTAAGAATAAACCATCCAACACCCAAGTAGTAAATGATGATGCCTTGAGGATGCTAATTAGGTTTGTTTTGAATTGAAAGTTAGGCATTTAACATTTACTTAAACTAAATAAAAGCATGCATAGCAAAAGAAAAAGTTTCTATTTTCTATTTCAATTCAATCAAAAAATATATATAATCCAACAAACCAAATTAATTTTATATCAAACATTAATATTTACCTTGATAGATGGGAGATTCAGCAACCTTCAAATCCTAAATCCTGTAAATAATGCATAAAAACTAAAAAAATTAGAAAAATATCAATTGTCATAAAAACTAATTGCAGTGCAAGAAAATAAACTAAATTCCAATGCATAGAACCTAAATTGCCTCAGAGAAAACAATTACGTTGGTGTTATGCTTAATTTCAAAATTCAAAAAATTTCATAATGAAATTAATCACATATCAAAACATCATACCTACTTTTATTTGAATTCTAAGAATTAAGAAAGATGTCACACAGACTAAGAATTTTCAAAATAAAATCAAAATTTACGAGAAAAAAAAGGATAACAAAAATTCCTAATAGCTCTTTTCCCATAAAGGATACCTGAATTTCTAAAACAAACAAAATTGATAAATTGCTTAAAAAAAGGAAAAGTGAAGGGAAAAATTATTTACCTGCTACCGCCCGCTGGCAGCTCTCTCCACCCATCGTTTCGAATCCCTCTCCTTCTCCCCTGCGTAATAACCCGTCGCCATCTCGTTCATCTCCCCAAACACTAACCCCTCCAAAACCGTAACCCTAACCTCCTCGTGCTCCTCCTCTTCCTCTCTCCTCGCCGCCATGAGATCCACATCTTGTCCCTCTCCCTCACCTCTCTCTTGAGCTCCCCGACCCTCCCCCTCAACCCCTCGATCTCCTCGTTCGTCGACTCGATCAGATCCAAAAGCCGTTGCTCCTCCTGCTGCCACGCGTGGCGGTGGCTGGCGAAGATCTCGACGACGCGGGCGTTGGCCTTGGAATCCCCCTTCCTCCTCGACCTTAGGGTTTTTAGCTGGTCCTTAGCCTGGAAGAGCTTAAGGCTGAGGATTCGGTTGCGGGATTGGAGAGAGGAGAGGTAGGGGATGTAGGAGAGGCCAAGATACGTAACCGATGAAAAAGAGTAATAGATTTATGGGGAGGGTAAAGTGGCTTATCAATTGAGTAAGGAGAGTGTTCTTAGGCTTCCTTAGCCTGGAGAGGGAGGAAGCCTAAGAAGACGGCGAAGGAGAGGCCAAGATAGATGGAGAGAGATGAGGGGTTGGGGTCGTAACCGATGAAAAAGAGTAAAGTGGCTTATCAATTGAGGATACGTTTGGTAACTAAATTTGGTGGAGGGTTATTTTGGGGAGGGTAAAGTTTTTCATGAACTCCCTCTTTTAAAGGGTAATAGATAATAGATTTATGGGGGGAACTAGCAAAGAGCCCCTTAAAATAAAAGAAAGATATCAATAAGAAGGTTTTACAGCCCAATATCTTATTAGCCCAAGCCCAACTCCCGACCAAACCTCCCCCTTCGTTCTTACCCCAGATACACGGCTCCCACATAATTCGTAGTCTTTGGTAACCCGGTGTGACCGCATACCCGCCACAATTAACTCCTCATGCACAATCAGGGCGGAGACGAGGAGGGTAGGAGGAGAAATAATATATAATATAAATAATAATAATTTATCATAAAAAGCTACGCGTTATAAGTACTTAGATAGAATCTCGCCATATTTTATTTTATTAGAAAAATAAAAAAAAAAGAAGCCTCTCCTCCTCTTACCGAAGATCTCGATAATCCCGATTGCGCCAGACTTCGTCGGTCGGCGGCGTTCGCTCCGCCCGACCGCCGACGGCCCCGATGGAGTCGCATGAACGTGGAAGGTCCGGGCGGGCGGCCTCGTCTAAAGTCGGAAGCTTCGAAGTGCGTCGTTCCCCGTCGCCGGCCGCCTCGATCTCTCCGATCCGATCCGATCCGGATATCATCACCCTCCCTTATTCCCCTCTCCGATGCAAACCCCCGTGCTCCGCGATCCTCAACCCCTATTGCCTCGTCGATTATGGCGCCAAGATCTGGATCTGCCCTTTTTGCTTCTCTCGCAATCACTTCCCCCAGAACTACGCTGCGATTTCTGAGTCTAATGTCCCCGGCGAGCTCTACTCTCAGTGCTCCACCGTTGAGTACGCCCTAGATCCCTCCCTCCCGCCGGTGTTCCTCTTTGTCCTTGATACCTGTGTAATTGAAGAGGAGCTTGAATTTGTAAAGTCTGCGATGCGCCGGGCTATTGGTTTACTGCCCGAGAATGCTCTCGTTGGCTTGATTACCTATGGGACGCAGGTGCATCTGCATGAATTGGGGTTTGCTGACATTTCGAAGCTGTATGTGTTTAGAGGGACTAAGGAGATATCTAAAGATCAGATCTTGGATCAGCTGGGATTGTCTTCTGGCGGCCGGGGTCTTGTTAAGGGGGCTGTGCAGCGTAGTGGGATGCCGATGCAGCAGCAGCAGAATGTGATGGGGTCTTCTTCGGTGAATCGGTTTCTGTTGCCTGCTTCGGATTGCGAGTATACACTGAATGCTGTAAGTGAAATTTTTCTTTTCTTGTAAATATTAAAAATTGAATTTAGATAGGTGGGTTTGAGATATTGTTTGCTGGTATTGCAGCTGTTGGATGAGTTGCAGCCGGATCAATGGCCCGTGGAGGCTGGGAACCGGGCTCTCCGGTGCACAGGCGTTGCTCTGAGCGTTGCAGCAGGATTGCTGGGTGCGTGCTTGCCGGGCACTGGAGCTCGGATCATAGCATTAGTTGGCGGGCCATGTACTGAAGGCCCGGGAATGGTGAGTTTAGCTGTTGCTTCTCTTTCATTTAGTTGGATTGGACCATTAAGTGAATGCTACTTGCCCACTAACCATTATGTTAGTTCAAACATTGATGTTGTCAGCATGCACAACAATCTTATCGGGTCTTTTGCTTACAGATTGTATCTAAAGATCTGTCAGAACCTGTGCGTTCACACAAAGATCTTGATAAGGATGCAGCTCCACATTTCCACAAGGCTGTCAAGTTCTATGACAACCTTGCCAAACAGCTGGTCAGCCAGGGGCATGTATTGGACCTTTTTGCATCTGCCCTAGATCAGGTTTGAGTTACTTTGTCCTTTCTTGTTCAAAATTATTATACATTCTGCATAGACATCTCTTTGAATAATTGGTTGTGACAATTAACACCGTCTGTGAGGTTAATGCATTATAATGTACTGTAATGTCAGCTGGGAATAGTAGTTGACTGACCTGGATTTATGCTATAGAAGTCGATATATGCTTGATGTCCAAACAATCTAACTACATAGTTTGAACTTGAAGAGATAAGTAACGCAGAAGTCCAAGCTTGTTTCTTTGTTTTGATGCTGAGATTGTTACTAGTTTTGTTTGATACAATTAATTATTCAACACATTCTAGGGAACTTTGTAGTTCACCCCTGAGCCACAATTATTCGGGATAAACCTATATGATAGAATCTTTTCTTATGACTGGCTCTCTAGATTCCTGGACCCTAGATGGAAGATTGCTATATTGCATCTGAGTAGAACCTGTTAAGGACAATGTGCTCTAATACCTTTTGTTGAGAATTGGTACATGATGCAGAAGCTTCACCTGGATCTGCCAACTAGATATTCGTCTTACTAGGGCAATCCATCACCTGAGCAATAGGGGTACACTAAGAAAATCGGTATTCAAAAAAATACAAAAAGTAACGAGCAAAATATAGCTGAGAAGATAAAACTTACAAAGACACAAGAATTTATGTGGTTCGGCAATTGCCTACATCAACAGGGAGAGATTTGAGTCTTGTTTATTCCCTAAGATTTTAAAGATTTAATCTTTATTGCGTTCTAAAATGAACACCCGAGAAACCCTCTCTTTCTCTCACGTGTAGTTGCATGGAGTCCGGTTTGTTTCGGTTCACGAATGGGAACGGAAGCATGGTAAGCTACTTATTCGGAATTGGGTACGAGGGGGTAGGTTTATATGGTATGCTAGGCAATATAGGACGTCTTAGGTTTGGTTTTTAAATATAGGAATCTGAGTTCTTTAGCGTATAATTTCATGCAAGAGTCACGTTCAAGGATCAGTAATTCAAGTGCAATTATGGTAAGCTTTTTGTTTATTTTTCTAAAAATGATTGTGTTTTGTTTTCCAAAATATTAACTAATTTGAATTCTAAATTAGGTTGCTAACTACTCTACCCAATTCGCTAGTGTACCGCATTTGGAACGATTGAACCCGGATCATGGATCACTATAGTGTCCCATGTTCCTGACATCAATGGTCCCACCTAAAGATCCTTACAGACCTTATATTTCTCTCTTTGTTTCTTCTCTACAAATCTTCTACAGTATGCAGGTCTCTTTGGTTCTCTCTTCAACCCTAGACGTGGAAGATTTGTATTTCTAGGGGAATACAAACCAAAACAAGATTCTAAACCCAACAGCCTAAAATACCCAATCAGTGTCTCGTTAAACGCCTACCGCACCACCTAAGGTAGTGTTTCAAAATTTCAGAGCATATTAGACACCTATCAGTACCGTCTAAGTTTGTGTTATTATCAACTAGATAGAATGAGGCTCCTGAGGCACTATCTATTGACTGGTTGATATGTTTTTCGCTGATCCTTCACTTGTTTTGACTCGTTTTTTGTCTCAGGGTTTAAAGATCATGACTAAATCTCAACAATCACCACCTAATACTAGTCTGAAGCCACCTTTGAGAATTGATGATTCATTGCAACCTTTTGCTCTGTAAATCATAAAGATGTAACACATAAGAAATCTTTCATCCTATGCCCATTCTAGCAAACGGCTCACTGGAAGACTGCTTCCTGATTGATGTCAAGACTCCTGTGGACTTGACGCCAACCCCGTTAATACGCAGTACAATCTCGGCTCTAGACTTTCTGTAGGCTTCTTTTTGATTCCAACTAGAGTCGAGCTGTCACGTTGGCTCTACCTAGGAACTGAAATTTGGTGCAAACCTCTCTCTGTTATGGCCTAATTTCCCCTTGATGATGAAGCTCCACCTCAAACACTGTTCCCTTCGGACACCCCCAATATAAGACATTTCCACCATAACTGCATGGAACTTGATTCATTCCGGTTCACACCTCATAGGACGGGAACAGGAGTGTGGTATGCCACTTATTAGGAATGGGTATGAGGGGTAGGCTTATACGGTAGGTTAGAGAACATGATACATTTTAGGTTCGGGGTTTAAATGTATGAATCTGAAGTTTTGCAGGAGCCAAATTTACGAAATATGCTAGTTGTTATCAGTAATAGTTAAAAAAAAACTTGAGAATCATGTTGCAGGTAAGGTATGCAATACTCTATTTACTTAATTTCTCATGCTCGTTATTGTTTGTTCTTTTGAAGAAGAAGTTTTCTTTTTCAAAATTTTAACTAGTTTGCGTTCTAAATCGGGTTGCTGGAATTGGTGAATTGGGTCGTGTTCCACAGTGAATCCGGGATGATATGCGGATCGCGGTTTGCTATAACGTCCCAGGCGATCGATAACTATGATCTCCACACTTCTTTCTTATCAGTATGAGATTTCTTCGGTGATATATGGTGATGACTTTCTTGTCCACCTAGGTTCGGTACACTTTCGATCAAGCGCCCTTGATGATAATAAATGTCTTGCTTCAGGACTAACCAAACATCGTTCAGAGTATGTTCTCACATTTTCCCATCACCAAGACTGATCCTTTATCTGCAATCTCGCACCTTAAGCCGTTTGTCATGTTGACAGTCTCCACCACTCCTTAGACTTGAGGGTGAATAGGCTTTCCTAAAAAAATATGTGGGCCAATCACCCAAAATCTAGCACCTAACTACCGTAAGAAATGTTGTCAGAAACTACTAAAACCTTGACTTGTTGACTTTCATCAATCTAAGAAACCGTCAATGCATCTGCTCGTTGATCTTCTTCAACGCATGTTGTATATGATGACTGGGCCGTCCTCCATTTTCTGTTCCTTCAACCACTTCTGTCTTTGTGAATAGTCCTTCTTTGAGCAGCCCATTGGAAAAAGAAACACCATTTTAGCCCTCGACCCTTCTATTGGAAAAAAATGCCGTTTAACCCTTAAACTAATTTATCAATCTTGAAGTTCTCCGAACTCCATCTGCCACCAACTCAACGCACGAATCATCACCAACACCCGGTCATCGCCCAAACTTTTGCATGAGAAGCACCACCTTAACCTCGTCTATGGTGATGCTCCTCGCCTACGCACAATGATGTAATGACATTTTCATAACTCATAGGAAAAGAATAGAGGAGAATCATCGCCTTATCCACATCTTCAAGCTTTGAAACTGTCGCTGCTAATTTGATCACGATAAAGAGTGCAAACTACATGATGCATTAGGCTGATTAAGAGTGAAGATGTGGCACTTCTTTTTATGACGTGGCATGAGGGTAGGCAGGTAAATAACTAACCCCAAATTCCCCAACTCCCCAAATTTCTAAATCTTCTAAAATTTTCCAAATCCCTACAAATGTCGTTCCCTCTCTACAAAATAGAATTTTAGGATTTGATGAAGGTGTATTGCCTTCCCCCTTATCAATTTCTCCTTTATTACAACTTAGCCATTAATTAGTTTTAAGCTTTCCCCCAATTTTTCCCTGAATTTCAATTGCACCTCATTTTAAGCTCATCCCAACTAGCTTTGCAACGTCAACACCCTGCCACATCAGCATCTCAGAACGGTTCAAAAAGGTCACATGAGTAGTTCACGGACAATTTCTCATTAGCAATGAGAAATTGGGCCTTAATGTATTGAACACAAACTTAAAATACCTTAAATATACCTGGAGTTTTTAAAAATATTGTAGTGGTAAAGGGGTTTGACTAAAAATATCAATCTAGTAATTTAGCCCATCACTATTATTTTGCTCATGTTTGCCTATTTGCATGCTTTCACATTTTAGCACATAAAATTGTGTTTTGTTTTATATATCATCTCTAGGAAGCTATCGAGAATATTCATATAATTTAGGGATATTAGGATCTTAGTAATCTTGTTTAGTTAGTTCAGTATATCATCAACATGCTTTCTTGATTGCATTTAGTTGACCTATAGATTTTACTGTACTGTTTTAGCATCTGATATCACATTTCCTCATGCTAAATGCTTATCACTTCAGCAGCATTTTGGTTGTTATAACTTTGCAGATTCATTTTCTTAATCTCATCTTCTCAACTTGTCTTGCAATTGGGATTAATGGTGTTCAACTGTTGATTTTATGGTAGTGAAGAGTACTAGAAAATAAAGATGAATTTCAGGATCATCTGTTATCTTTTAAGCAAATAATCTCTTAGCTTCGTACCACAGGTTGTTCATGGTTCTATGCGAGCTAACTGTTTCCTGTTTGTGTCCTACATGTTATCTCAGTTATGTCATGGACTCATTTGTCTAAAATTCTGACAGCCAGGTTTACTGCAGTACATTGTCATCAGAGGAAAATTTTCTGTTGGTTCTGATGTTTGTGAACCTATGGAAACATCAAACGAAGTTGATATCATATCTTTTGCTTACTCGTCTCTTAGTTTGTTGTTTAATTATCTCTAATCTGAAAAGGCTTTGGCATTGTTCTCTTACAGTTAACAGTCTTTCTTGTCAACTTTGGAGCTGATCAATTTAACCTAAAAGTACAACATAAAAGAAAGCTGAAGTTATCCTATAGAGATTAAGCAGAAGATGTCCTAATTTTCTGTGGTAAATTTAGTTATGAGAAGTTCTAGATAAATTTTATGTGATTCATTCATGAGATTTGGAAGCTCGAAATAAGTCTATAGTAACTATTGGAATAAACAAGTAGTTAAATGTTGGAAAAAGAAGAGCTTGCACTCTGGAGATCTTTGAATCTTTATAAAAAAACAGCACAATATTTTCTAATTAACCAACTACCATATGAAGGTTATGGAAAAAGCGGGAAACAATGCCTTCCGAATTTATTTTCATTTAAGCATGTCTTCTTTTGTTATGCATGAGTGATTGGTCAACTGATATTTTTCTATCTCTAAACCCTTCATCTGATTGTGATCGCGTCCAGGTTGGGGTTGCAGAGATGAAAGTTGCTGTTGAAAGGACAGGTGGTCTGGTTGTCCTTGCAGAGAGTTTTGGTCATCCAGTTTTTAAAGATTCTTTCAAGCGAATATTTGAGGATGGTGAAGGGTCTCTTGGTCTTTCATTTAAGTAAGTTTTGATTGCTTATTCGAGCATATTGTCATGTGCAACTCTATAGAAAGCCAGTTGGATGTTCTTTCTTTTTCTTTTTGTACTCATTCTGCCCCCAGGGAATTGTTTGCCTACTGGTCCAAACCACTAAACATGGTCAAAATATTGCTTCACAAAATTGTGATCACTGAAAATGAAATACAAATTTGATATCACTGAAAATGAAATGCGCATTTGCTGATATCACTGAAAATGAAATACAAATTTGCTTCACAAAATTGTGATTGGCAACTAAAATTGATATAAATAAACAGACCATTGAAGATTCAAAAGGGTTTTTTTTGGGCTGAGACAATTGCGGGGGGGGAATAAGAGGACGGAGGAATAACGCAGCAGAGAGGAGATAGATGGATATTGGTGACACTACTTTCTGTCTAAAATATCTAAACAAAAAATAACATCCATATAATTTCTAATTATATCTACTCACATTTATTCCTGATACTTACGTGCTAATTTCTTCCAATATTTAACCAGAATTTCCGATCAGTCAGTCAGTCCTATACCTTTTAGTATCATGTTATGTAAAATTTAGCATAGTGTATTACAATAGCCACTTCCCAACTCAATTAAACCAAAAAAAGTACGTCTTAGTGAAGCTCTAACTCAGATCAATTACCTAACAACCTAATACCAAACTGAGACAAAATACATTGAACTTACAACAGAAATATCAAAGTTGATCCACCTGTACTATTTCCAAGAAATCTTATGTTATGGGTCAGTTTTCAATATTACACTTCAAAAATATATCAAAAGTTCCCTTTTCACTCTCCAACAATGTTCTTGTTTACTGAAGTCTCCATGCTTTTGTCCAAAATTTAACATTTCATCTTTAAATGTCTCTTCACAAACTTGACCAAGTGTCGATGAAGCAGTTTATTGAAGTAGATACATTGAGCATTTAGAGCATGTTCTTAGCAGTGCTTCCACTTTAGCTGTAAGATTGGATTTCTTCTTTTCTAATTATTTTACCAGCCTTTAATTAAAATTTTTAATTAGCGTTATGTATAATCAAGTACTTGTTTTTTGGTCTCACCAGAGAAAATAGGTATTGAGTTGGTTATTGTACAAGAATAAGTTTGCAGTTGCACAGTTGACTGAACTGCTTTTTCTTCCTAAATTCCCACACCAAGAATGCTATGTCCTTCTGCATCTTTTTGTTATGGCATACACTGTAATATCTTGGATAATTAGTGTCAGTTCAAGGATGCAGCCCACCCATGATACTTTAGCACACTTGCCAATTCTTGCCTTACCTTGTACCTAAAGCTCCTTTTTCGTTTTGCATTGTTTCTCTTTTTCTGAGAATGCATAATCTTTAACTTGGGATTGTTTCAAAGCCACTTAGATCTGATTGTCAGGAGGAAAAAATGTATCTGATGGAGATATCTTCTATTAACACCCTCCTGAATCACTTCCAGTAATATCTATAGGCTATAGTGAGTCATGTGATATTGCATGTCAAATTGCTACTTGCTCTTATCTTTTTTGTTTTGTCATGACAAGAAATCAGTCAATCAAAGTATAGATACTAAACATTTTCGTTCTTTGTTTTAAAAAGTGGTATGGACGTCCGCCAAGGGAAGGGTTGCGCAGACCACTCTGCAGGCACCTAAGGAGGTGCAAGCCGCTTAAGTGTGTCACGCCATATAAAAAGTTCTGTTGCTGCTTAAGTATGGTAGAAGTTGAAGATAGTAAGTTTAATTTGGGTCAAAATGGATCAGGAGCCCAATTTCTAGATCCACTTAACTAAAAGAGAGGCTAGCGTTTTGATTTCTGGAAATTCCTTATCCTCTTCTCTCCGTGTCTTCCGAGGCCTGAATCTCACCTCTGTTGAACTACTGAGACTGAGCTGCTATCCCCACTCCCAACCATCATTTCTAGAGCCACCGCTGAACGTTGTTGAGACTTTCAAAAAGAATAATATTTGCAAACTTATCTTGGCTTTCATAATCTTCTTCCTCTTTATATTTTTCTTCTTTCTTTCTCATCCTCCTTTTTCTCCTTGATTTATTTTTCTAATTTTTCTGTAATTTTAAATTTTTTATATGTTTAGTAAAGGTTTCTAGAAAAATAAAATGCCAAAAACCGTTTAGGTCCGACATCTAGAAGCACCCATAGCTTTCTAAAAAGATTGTTTTCATTTCATTTTTAAGTGTCCAAGCACAGAAAGGATTTGTTTGTAATGGATAGACATACTCACATCTTTTACCTGTTTTAGTTTGTTCCAGCATTTTCCATCTATGTTTATGGCAGCCTGTTTGGTTGGCCAAAATAGCAAGAAGCCATATTATAGGAAATAGACTCCTGTAAGTTTTTCTTTTCTTTTGTTTGGTTCCCACTTGAAAATCAAGAGGGAGGTTGAGGTGGCATCCCTCATTCGTTAATTTGACTCCATTTCTAGGAAACACATTTCAGAGGTTTTTGTAAGAAAATCACTTGGAAACTTATTTAGATGGGTTCTTTGTCAGATTTCCTTTTTTTTCGGGAAATGAACCAAACAGCCCCTAAATAACAGCATATACTGAAAGCACATGGCTTCTTGATTGATCAAGTCTCTGTTTTTTTTCTTCTTTTAGTGGTTAAATAAGCAATGAGGACATGTAATGCAAATAATGATTTGATGACTTTCCTTTCAGTGGTACACTTGAGATCAACTGTTCCAAGGACATCAAAATTCAGGGAATCATTGGACCATGTACATCTTTGGAAAAGGTTCCCTTTCTGGAAAACCGCTTTGTTGCTTTTTTCTTTTCTAGATAAAATATCTTAAGAGAAATATGTGTATCAATGTGAATAGTCTTATGCATGCAGAAAGGAGCACTTTGTGCTGATACAGTGGTTGGACAAGGAAATACAACGCAGTGGAAAATGTGTGGTCTAGATAGGAGTACTTGCTTGACAGTTTTCTTTGATATATCACCCAGCGATCGATCAAATCCAACCGGAACTCCAAATACACATTTGTACATACAGTTTGTGACAAAGTACGTTTTTACTGAGCACCATTCTCTTGTAAATCTTTTATTTCTTATAACTTCACATTTCTTAGATATCTACCATTCATTTCCTGCAGTTACCAAAACTCTGAAGGCCAGTTGAGGCTTCGAGTTGCAACAGTCGCAAGAAAATGGGTTGATGATTCTTCCAGCACAGAGGTAGGCTACATTTCCCCCCTATAATCCCCAGCCAAATCACACACAGAAACACGGAAATTCAGCTATTTCAATGGGAATAATGTTTTGATATTAACAATAAATAAATAAATATCGCCTGGAAATATGCAAAACACTTAGGCTGTCTTCTTCTTTCTGTCAGACCCACAAACAAATATGCGCACAAAAACACAATCTGTTTGTCTATGTCTATATCTTAACTCATTCTTATTGTGCCAAGTGAAACGATGTAGTTAGGTATGGCTTGATTATGCTTAATTACACCCAATTCATGTGCGCTTGATATTTAAGTACTTAATTAGTAATTTGCTTCTGAATGCACCAGTTCCCTGTCTTATTTGCTGTTCTTGTTCTCTCAATTGTTTTTTTTTCAAGAGTTCTCCCCTCTCTCCTTTATTTCTTTAAGCGAAGTATGTTTTAAGATTTGTGGTTAAATAACATTCATCTGGTTAAGTAACATTCATCTGGTTCTTAATCTCATATGGAATATTAAGTTTTGTGTAATAGTTTAAGCTTGTTTTATGTCATATACAAGGTGAAAAGTCTTGGACAAATTTACCTGCCCATCACGTTGTGTAGTCAGGACTTCACATGTCCTACTTACTAGTGCTATACATTTTTGAACTACATATGGAATTTTCATGAGGACATTTGCTTACAATCCTATTATAAGCATCAACAGGTGTAGCTGGAAGAACTTTCAAACATTATCTCATTGATACACAGTACACAGCTTTACTGGAAATAGAAAATATAATTTTCTCTTAGTAAGATAAATATTTATCTTAATACAATTATGTAGGAAATGACTTGTTTTATAATGCTAAAAATTGGGAAAGCTTTGCTTGTCAGTTGTAACACAAATAGAAGAGAAACCATCCTTTCTGTATATAGGAGCCCGTGACTGTGTGTCTAGGGAAGAAGAATTTTTAGAGTAAAGATGCATAATTATGGAAAGTGG